CAATCCTGAATTACATGTAAGCCATTTCTATATCAACGTATACGCCTTCAATCTTTACAGGATGATCTAGGAAACCTGTGTAGAGGAACACTGGAAGTGTTTGTCTAGTTATAGTAGGAAAAGAGACGATGAAAGAAATGGAGAGGATCCAAATGAACAGACTGAAGTCAGTAGAAGTGGAAATGATGGTGATGTGGAAGACGAAGCAGTACAAAATTGAACTGTGAAAACACATTCTGAGTACAGTCTCTAGAGTACTGAGAGAAGGGCTGACGAATAGACACTATTTCTACACACTAGATTAGTTTTCATAATCATCGAATACAGCATAGATTGGCAGTTAAACCTCTCAACTGCATACATTTTGTATATGCCCTTGACAGTGTTCACCGTGAAGTAATTTCGGAACTGATTCAACACTATGGAGTACCCCTAACCTTTATCAACCTAAATGAATAGCAAGCTATATAACAGTGTCACACGTAATGTCATCAGCAACGGAAAATTGAGTGAACCCTGTGAAGGTAACACTGTGGTAAAACACTCTTGATAGGGGTAGTCTGGTTCTGGCAACAGACAGAGGAGATCAAGAAGGCAAACATAGGCTAGATTGGAAAAATCACCCTGAAAGATTCTGGCTTGTCAAACTGCTTATTTCTCGTCTCTCATAAGTTCGAAAATGATTATGCAAAATTCAAAAAGTTGGAAGTAGAGACAGAGGAGATAGGAATTCAGATGAACACTGAAGTAAGACAAATGATAAGAACAACCCACTAAAAAACAACAACCAGAGCCTGAAACATGAATTCAGCTATTCTTGGAACGGATGGTGATGTCAAGGCCAACTAGAATAGGGTGAGCAAGACAGGCATTCGTTACTCGAAAACCAGTGAGGCGATTAACAACAGTCATGTAGTGGTTGAGTCTTATCATTTGTTAATTATTTCTAATCTTCCTTCTTACTAATTCATTTGTGTTTATCTTCTTACTACTTATTACTAGTAGGTAGTAACTTTTTGTTTACCTGTTTCGTTACTCCATGGCCATAGTTGCTGATTTCTACTTGAATGGATTCTATTTAGTGTATCAACTTCCTCTATGGTCTGGTTTAGTTATCTTCTCATGGGTAGACGATATCTGCTGCATATCTTTGTTTCTTTATGTTCAACTCTCTCTTCACTACTGATTATTCAAATCTCGTTATCCTTGATCAGTCATTTCAGATGTTGTTTATTTCCGACTACTGGTCAAGCTTTTCTGGCTAATTGTAACTGGTGTCCACAGAAAAAGCGCGTGTTAGGCACAGGGAAATATCTGACCTACAGTTAGCTTCGTGCTATAGAGATTTATTGGTGAAAATTAAATGAATCTTCAACATCTGGTTTGCAGCTAAGTTCGATCACCGGGTGACATCCTTAGCATTGTGAATAGCGAATCGATGAAAGTTAGAATTCATCACCTATAGGATTGCATCTTAATGGCTGAATAGTCATCATGCTCACCATCTGACTTTACAGCCATTGGTGTATACTGATTAGGACGAAAGAAGCCTACAGCAATCTTTGGTTTCTATTGGTTCTCTGACTGACATCAGTCCGTGAATAAAAATTGAATCTCAGCGGGTGCGTACTTCCGATGACTCCCAAACCAGGATGAAACAGCAGCTGTCTAGTACTCCCTGGTTTCAATGGTTCTCTAACTGATATCAATCCGTGATCAACTCGTAAAGAAATAAACTTAAAACCAATAAAGTGAGTAAAAAGCAACTCTTGAAAAATTCATTTCTTCTTATTTGGTGAATTTTCTACTAATCCGTTTTCACTTGCGTGCAGAACAAACGTGGTATAATAGGGTAAAGTGAATCAGTTTAACGTAACGCTGTGTTATCTCAATAACATTAGGAAATCCTCATTTCTTTGAGGAATGTAGCAGTTTCCTGAATCTATTCCAGATAAATGAACTACTGTATTCTGAACTTGTTTGTGGACTGTCCTGTCTTGGGATAAATTCATGAGTAATCGCCATGTAGACATTAATGCGAATAAACCAAGTAGTTCGGCGAAGTGATTCTTGTCTGAGAACTCATTTTCTTCAGCTCTTCACTTCACCAGCAACAATCCTATAACACATAAAAGGAATTGTATACAAACACTATTCTAGAGGGCCAGAACTCATCGCAGCACTTCCACCCTAAAGAAAATCGAAATCACTGCGAAACTCTTCAAACTTTTAGGAATTGACGTCGCACACAAACCAACACAATCACTTCACTCAGCTACTCTATGTCAACCAAAAGACTCAACAGCGAAAGAAACCAGCGAAAGCCAACATCATCTACAAAATAAATTGCAACGACTGTGAAAATCACTACATTGGCCAAAGTGAATCTCCCCTTCATCTTAGTATCCATAGACATAAACTAGCCGTCAAAAGACATGACATCCACTCCTTCATATCGCTGTATACAAACAACCATGGACATCAATTCGTCTGAGGCAACCAGCATTCAAATATTACACAGAGTAAACACCAAGAACATCCGAGAATTTTCTGTAGCCTGTATTCAAGTGAATCGTCAATCAGTAGACACATCGAGATAGACAAAATTTACCAACCGATAAGAAGGAAATCTTACACACAAAGGGTCAAAGTTCAAGTTAAGGAAACAATCAGTTCCGATACAAGTGGCCTAGAGAGTGTGAAAACACAAAAAAACGACCAATCACGTTCAAGGTTAGTGGTTATTTTCTGTCAGGTTAAGTGCAACAAATAGAGGAAAACAACATGGTGTCATTTTTGTTATTTGTCAGATTCTTCACAATTGCTTACAGTCTTAGCAACACCGAAATATATGAATCACAAAACCAAACGTCTTTTATTCACTTGACAACAAACCAATCATAGTAACTATAGGTAACATAAATCAGGAATGATATAAGTAGTTAAATAATTGAGCGTTAAAAGGATCTACATTTTGTAGGGGCAACAAGGTCTGTTTATAGCTCTGTTTTAGGTCATTTTGACGATACCGAACACGGAGTGGATGTTAACAGAGCATTTGAATGTAACTACCTTATTCTGACTGAACATGCTTTTGTCATACGAGTTCTTTTTCTACATACGCCTGAAGCCATTGGAATTCAGCTATGTATTCAAAAGAAATTCACACGCAATATATAAATATATATTCTTCGTGTCTTCTTCAGTCGTGGGTTTGGTAGTATCGTATCATATCTTGTCGTTGTTTTTGCTAATAATGATTTGTATTGTAGGCTCGCCAATCAAAGACAAATTACAAAGTGTGCTATCAAATCTCCCCTTTCTCCTAAGTCTTTTACCAGTTATTATTGTTTTGACTCGTTTTAACTGTTCTAATAATTCTATGCCTAATTTATATGGTATTCAATCTTGTCTTCAAGAATATTTCTTGCTATACTCAATTCATTTTCCAGCATTAGTTTGTAGGAACTGATTGATTCCAAACTGGATCACAAGATGATATCAGACAGATAACTTTATTTCCATGCAAAATGTCGAGCTCTAACAATCTTTTCTTTAGGAATATTAGTCTAAGTATTCTAGACATAGTCAGTCCTTTAACACTTAATAATTTAGCTGATTAAACCTAATTGCAGTCCCAGTAAACAATTCATTGTCAACACGACAGTGGTGTACTTTGAAACCTTTGCGTTTGTAGTTTATATATTTTGTTATCTTTTCGATTGTAAATAGTTTAAAAGTAGTCTGAGGAACAATAAACTTGTGATCATAAACTCTATTTTACTACATTTGTTATTCTTACTCTGAAATCTCATATTTTGACTGACCTTCGATTCAGCTTAAATTTTAACTGATTCAAAGCATCCGCAAATGCTGTTGACGCACAAATAATTCGCGACATTTACATTTTGAAACAAAACGCGTATAAAGTGGTACATACAGGAAATTGGCTGAGATATGGGTGGTTAGAAATCATTCACGTCAAACATTATCATTGTTTTTGCTAGTAACATCACTGAAGTACAGTGTAGCGAAGTTTCCGCTTTCACAGGGGTGGAATATTTTTTTTTCATTATTTGTGTTGATCTTCTTTTTTTACTCAGTATTTTTATTTGCATTTTTTTGGTTATTTCTTTCTTTTCTTTTCTTTTTTTTATTATATTTTTTATTTTTTTATAATACTCCTTTTAAATGTACGATGAAATTAGATGCAATATTGTAGATATGTGCTGAAAATTCCACACTGTACCACAAGTACTGTTTCTGGAATAAAGCGAAATTGTTATGTTAAAAATCGAATTGTCTCGTATGTATGCATTTTCTCTCAAATCGAAAAGTGAACACTATGAAAACAGTCGACAGACAGTGTGTGTTTCTTGATAGTGTTATTAAAGGTAAAACACTGGTATTTAATCGCCCTCTAACATTTACCCTTCAGTCCGTAAGTGAAACCGACTCTTTGACATCCGTCCATCCATTCAAGGTGTATTAAATTAATGAATTGAACGAAATTGTTCTCGTGTCCAGTGTATTACTCAGCTGACAAGGAAATGAATTTCAACATTGAAAAGAAGAAAGTACGTGTTTAACTGCACTGGTGACAACATTGAGACTGTTGTCGGTAGCCATGGGATGCCAATAAGCAGAAAAGATTATCAACCACGGATACATATATTCACTGACTAATACAGGTATTTATGAATCTAATTATCGCCTAAGAAAAGGAATGACTATATTTCGTTTCATTTCTTTTTGCATATTTCAGGAACGTGAACTGGAAGCTGTTTATATGATACTCTTATCTAGTCAAACAACGATTCTAATGAAGAGTCTTTCATTGGATATCTTGAACACGCCAGTTATTCAAAATTGTGGTTCTGATGTTGTTCAGACAAAGCCGTTCGGTCAATTGTTCTATCGGATTCTTATTTCTGTAAATGGGTGTTTTTTGTGTTTTGACGTGTGTGAATATTGCTGCTGGTTATTTATTTCATGTTCGCTCTGTAACACTCTGTTGGTTAAATCAGAGTAAAAATCGAATTTATGTAGCAAAAAAGTGAATCGATATAAATCCCCTCTTCAGTCATAATTGGTCAGTCGTCTATTTCGAATAATAAATTAGACGGAAGGTGGATAGTCAGGTGGTTATTTGGATTCAGCACTTCTCATGAGACGACAAGGGTGTTTGTCTCTCAGTGTGAATGATAGGATTAGTCAGTTTGCCTAATTACGGTTGGTCACGGTTTCTCACATAATACCAGTGTGAACATACACAGTTATTGAGTTGTGATGGTTTCACTCAGTCAGTCAGTACATTGCTTGTTCTAGTGGAATTACTATCCTGTAAACTTGTGTGTCTGAAGTGGAATACTCGCCAGCGATGCACATGGTTCTACTTAGATTTCAGAATGACCCATTTCTAAACCTCGCCTAGTTTATTATCTGACAGTGAGACTGGAGAATATGAAAGGTTGGACGGAAGCCTAGAAACCAAAGTCCCATAGAAAAATAATACTGTCGCTTGAAAACCTACCTATGTTACACTTGAAGCGCAAGGATTGAAGGAGAAGGTCGTTTAAATACAGGATCCACTGTAAGGAAAGGCCACATGAATAACAGGTTTAAAATAGTTATGAAATAGTTAACATTTTGATACGATGTCCCAGGAAAAGACATATTGTGACGGTAGAAAGGATAAGTGTTATCAGCAGCACAAGACACAATATCATCTATTTTTCTGGTTTAAGCGTAGTCTGGGTGGTAACTATCTAAACAAATAGCCGAACTCAGAGGTTGTCAACTTGGTGTTGTATTCCAGACTTTAGGAAAACACACTAAGGTGTTTCCATGGCAAAAGAAGATGTGGAATTCATCTGAAGGTGTTGTTAGGTGACTCTTGTTTTACACCGTGTCATAATATGCTTTCAGTACATTGGGAATGCCAAAACAGAGGCTAAAGAAAAGTCCCGGTTGACATAATATTGGCTTAAATTTGAAACTAACGAGATACGCTTAGGAGGAAATTGATCAAATCTGCAATTGAAACAATTCAGAGTGAAATTTCACCACCGTCTCTCTCTCTTTCTCTTTTGAAAACCGAGATTATTCAGATCACAGTAGTTTGACTGGTTCAAGAACCGAATCAGTTTAGACCACTCGCACAGCAACATATGAATTTCAACTAACGAGTGAAGTTCTAATCAGATGACACAAGGAAAGTTGTTGCGGTTGTGTCTGATACTCTTAGGCGTTTCACAGACACGTCTAAGATGATGCAGAAACCCTTCCCATTGGGTCAATTGAAGTGGTTTGGCTATTGGAGTTGAAAATCCGGATCTTATTTTCATTTCATGCTGAGTGCTGTTGACTTCCACACAGACCTGTGATTAGTGAAAGCTTGTCTTGCTTTCCCGATCATCGCTGCTTTGATATCCTCGTCAGTTACTCCCGCCTGTAGTTGAAACGATGCTTCGCAAGTAGAAGATGAAGGAGGTTGTTTCTCTCAGGTTCCTCCCATTTATTCTGGCTGATTGTTGTCTGTTGTTGTTACTGTTGCTGTTGGCCAAAAATCTTCATCACCTCTGTTTTATCTATGTTCACCTGAAGTCCTACCTTCTCTGGATGCTTCTTCTTCGAATTTGCTGCTTATCACTTGCATATCCTCCAGTTTGTGGGAAATCAGACATATATCATCGGTGAAGTCCAGACCTTCCCAGTTCTTCTTTTGTATGGATCCATCTTTTCCTTGTTCCCTCGCTGCCCGTCGGTGTCTTTCGCATTATCCAGTCTATCGCAATCAGAGAAATCCTTGGAGATAGCAGGAAACCAGCCAGCTGGTTTTACTCCCGTCATTATTTTGAAGGACTCCGTAAGTTTCCGGTTGTGGATTACTTGGCATGCTGCATTGTCGTACAACTGTTGAATGAGATGTATTATTGTCGTTTGCACCTCTTGGTAGTAGCGAATTAGTTGACAAATCACCTCTCGATCGAAGCTGTCAAAGGCCTTTTCAAAGTCAATGAAGTTGAGTGAGGTAGAGAGGTGAATGGCATTATAAGCTCTGTTCAATGATGGGACAAAGTGTGGCGATTTGATCAATACTTGACTTGTTTCTCCTGAATCCAGCCTGTTACGATCGAAGGTTTTCATCCAGGTAGACGTGTTTGGTTCTCTCCAGGATGATGCGCTTTAGTATTTTGCTTGGGATGAACAGAAGCACAATTCCACGCTAGTTGTTGCATTGACAGGGTTTAGATTCTCTAGATCTGTGTGAATTTCTCTTAGCTTTTATTCGTCAACTTTGAAAATGGTCGATGAAAATACTTCCTGGCGAAATACAGACGGATCACGATCACGTAATTCTAATGAATCAAACATCTTAATATGCATTAGAATCTTCTCATGCACATTATTTTAGCTGAACTTAAAAATATATCAATCGATAACAGGAGGCGTGATAGAAAACCCAGTGAAAACTGAATGAATGACTCAGCATAGTATTGAATTAGTCACTTCAAGACGCCTGTCTCAGTGTGTTTTCTTCGACTGCGAATTTGATGTCCCCACTCAACCTCTAGTAGATTTTCTGTTGTTGTTTTTGTTTGCAATTTTCTCTTCAGTTGGCCGAGTTCCCGAAATGGAAAGATCTAATATTTTATGCACTGGAAACAAACAAAGAAGGCGTTAGCAAGTTCTATCCAACTGGGAAATTCGGTGACAATGAAAATGCTGTATTGAATGATCGTGCAAGATTTGTTTCAAAGCAAAGCCTGTTGAGTGGATTATTTCCAAATGTCTTTCGTACATTTCAAAAGCAGACACTCAATGTATCAACAGTAATAGTGAGTTAATTGATACATAAATTACGATATGATATTATTATACAAAGTTCTATGACATTGGCAGAATAATAATAATATATGCATGGGGAGGCCAGGTTTCATATATGTCACACACTACAGTGTATGCTGACACTGATGCGTTCAGCAGTCAGAAGTGTGTAGGTGATGTATCACAAGAAAAAGAAGCAGGTTATGCGCAGTTCTTGACATTTGTGAAGCCAAGTCATCTTCCACAGTTCCCCACAAGTTGAGTGTTGTGTGCTGCAGATTCCACATTTCACAACTCATTTCATTCTGATGACGTCGTATAAGGATAACCTCCTTTATCCAGGGCAGCTGCATTCCAACTACAAGAGGCATTACGGATGAGGATGTCAAAGACAGGATCGGAAAATCACGATGCACACTCACTTTTACGAAATCTGTGTGGAGTTCTGTTGAGACCAACATGAGAAACATGATTCGGATTTTCAACACTAACGCCGCCAAGTCGATCAGTGCGTATCACCAAAAGCATTTCGAAGAGAATTCGGAATTGGCTGGTGTGACACTGAAAACCAGATAACTGATGGATAGGGTAAACAACAAAGAACTTTAATAGGTGGATGATGACTGGCAGTTTAATCCAGCCAGGATAAGGCATGTGTCGTCCTGTTTGGGACTGGTCAGTTGGCTGGATGTACCTGCATTGTCCAGTGAGTCAGTGATGATGTTCTTCGCCCCGAGGCTCGAACCCAGTGCCCATAGTTTTCAATACCAGCCAAAGCGTTATCCACTAGACCACTTTAGCGACAAGAACCACCTCTTGTACAACGGGTCATGTTAATTATTTAATTGAATTTCGGATTTTCCCATCAGAATAATCAGTGAATCGTTTGATGAATCTGGATATGGAGTGTGAACATCGTCGAAGCATCTGCACAAGAAGCCAACACACATGTCAACCTGAGACCGAGCACTTCAGTCCAATCAATCGATGGGAAAGTCTGGAATTCAATTAAATAAAGACCTTTGGCAATGAACCAATCAAAAACCTCTTTGTCAACAAATATACGAAAGAAAATGTAGGCAGATCGGACACACCCTCAGGAAACTGTTCATTGAAGACAGGCACTAGGTAGGCTCTCAGATGAAACCTGAATTTGAAACGACGAAATCGACATAGTTTTAAGGGTGATATAGAATAGTTACTGTGAGGAGGCGGTCAGAGCGTATAAGCGATACTGGAGGCAGCCAAAGGATCACGCAACCAGGAGTGTAGAATATGTTACCAGAAATCTACTGGCATTACAAGTTCTTTGAACTGAATATCTTAGCTTGTCGATTACTAATTCACTTGATGTGTCACCTGTAAACTACAGTCGCATATATACAGTGTCTTTTCGAGTACAGGTGCGAAATTCACCGGACAGTTCATGGAGTTTATGATTATTACAAAAAAGTGTAGAATTAGTAAGATTGTTAATTATGTAGAACGTCGCGTAACAAGATGAGAATCTTGATAACACAGCAAAAGATTTATACCGAACTAAACGAATAAAGGATGGCAAGTCAGGCAATATCGGAAATTCTTCAAAATGAAAATAATAATAATAACACCAGTTGAAATAACGGGGTACGGATATACAGGCTGAATAAACGAAAGGAAAAGTAAACAGTGCCACAGTAGGGATGGGGATTATAATAGTTTAGCGTCAACAGGTGAGAAGCATGAAAAGAGAAGTGGTTGAGCACGCTTCTTCTCAGTAAACAGTGTTCAGACTTTTCTATTCCGATGGTCAAATTTTCAGAAGTTCTCATGAGTCGGATACACAGTGTGACATCAGTGAGTTATTTTCCGCTTCACAGAAACTGAAAAATGGAGATCAAGGAGATGAGCTGACCAGTACCAACTAGATGTTCAGTTATTCCGCTTCTTTCTTATAGCTCTACTTCCACCTCCACTACTAGTCTGTTCAACACCTCGACTACTTGGTGCAGTTTCGCTCTGTCTAACTCACACTACGACTTTATTTGACATGTCAAGATATATAGTGATTGAGGATTCTTCAAATACTTTTTCGTTTCCAGAAATGATGTTGAATTTCAGTCTCGTTAAGCAATTAGATTTTTACTTGTAGGAGATCCTCAACACCTAGATCTTGCATTCTTCTGGGGTGATTTCGTCATATAAAGACGATTTAACAGAGGATATAGTTAATTAGTAATGTTTTACGGGCAAATATTTCAATAAATTCCGCTGTTGTTCGATACACTCGACACTGAAGCAGTGAAACGATGTCATACTTCCTTCATAACTGGTGCATTTCAGCAAAGATATTCTGGGTTTTTCATACGCCTACCAAACGTTTTCAAGCATAAACCCACTACTGAACTGCTGAACTGAATTTCTAGGTCAGTAAAATATAAGTCATACTTAAACGATTCATTTACACATTTACAGGTAAGACACCAATGAAGGTCACTTCTTGGCTAATAGATTTCATTTATGAGGTAAGGTGTGTTCTGTCAAGATGGTGGTCAAATTATCCACCAGTTAGTTCCCTCAACTTCCCTCACAACTGACTCCAACGCAGCATATAACTCTTGGAATTTCCATGTCTGTATGTTTCGATTTTATTTAAAAAGGCGAAAGTGTTGTCGGAAACAATTATCCTTTAAAAAACATCAAAGTTATGTGAGTTTGGATGGAACCTGGTGAATAAGTTATTGAAACGAATATACTCACTGCTTACTGGTCAGCGTTTTGAGAATTGATTTTATAACATTCACTGTCCGTGATTTTTTCACCTATCAAATATTGGAAGACACGGATAATCCAGTGACTTCGCAATTATTCCCTGATCCTACTCACAAAAAACAACTTGGTGTCTTTGAACACTACTCATTAAGTCATTTGAGTATTTCTGTAATTTCAGTTGTACTGCCTATTTGTAACACTGATTGATAACAATTTATTCATCTGCAAGAAGCTCCATACGTCATGGGCGGTAGAGTAACTAAAGATCTTGAGTTGATTGGTGCCAGAGGATTGGTGATAGATATACTCAATGAGTTCGCACGTCGTCTTGAATTTAGGTCAGTTCAGACTTTTATTTTTCTTTCTTACTTATGTGGGATTTAATTTTTTTATATTTAGAAAAAACAATGATAAGCCTTATTCTGTTAATATTTCCGTGACCAAGTTGAAGCGAAGCGATCCAAGGGAGTGAATGCACCAACGACCTTCTGGTGCACATCGTATGCACAAAGAAATGCTGGGAAACACCAAGAGGACTAATTAATTTATGCGTAAAATTATGTACAGCTGATTGATTGATTGATTGAGATGGGTCCTTGTATACCACTCACAACAGTCAGTAGCACTTACTAGCCAGATTGAAGTGACGTAAACATCTAATGGCAGTTCCTATCGTTTGTGGCCTAGCTCATGATTGGTGAACAGAGTTCGACTGAGGTTAGATAGCCGAATCAGTGTGAACCATCTGACGGGTGAAGGCTTTTTGAAATCATTGCAGAAATGTTTGTTTATGACTACAGTTTAGATGCCTATCTATATTTCTCCTCTTTCGCCTGAATTGGCGTGTTTGATCCTGATGATCATTTGACAGCTGTTGGTTCATCCATTCAGAAGCTGCTTGTTTATTGAAGCCAGTTCAAGAGAAATTTGCAAATCATAGTGTGGATGACACCTTCAATTTTCAATTTTAATACATCAAATAAATAAACTAATTGTGTCATACGACGTGACAGTACCAGTGATGGAAGCAATAGACATCATTTGTAAACAAACAGATCTATTGCCATCACCGGAGACAGAGATAAATCGCCCACTAATCTTTTGCACAAAACACATCCAATATACACTCTAAAAACACTCATAAACAAATTATTTTAACGCCCAGCATCATACTGCTGTGTGAAACTAGTGGTTAGGAGAATCGGACTGCGCCTTTAATTCGTGTGGTTTTCGTTCACAAATTTACTAAAACAGTCAACATGCACACATGTGAAACACTAAACTGAAAGTGCATTTCGAAAAAGGGAGTTTAAAGTAAGTAGATAACAAACAGTTACAATTCAAAAACAAATTTCAGAACATTCTTTCTATATACTTACTAAGTACTTGAGTAATTATTCATTCCAGCTATCGACTATTCCTCCCACCGGATGGAGAATATGGAGCGAAAATATCAAACACAACATGGAGTGGAATGATTGGTGAATTACTGGCCAAGGTATGCTTGAAGTCTACTCTTTTGAGAAAGTCACTCCCATTTTTAAATTAAGTCATTATTAACGCCAAGACCATCCTCTTGTAATAGTCTTTTGAGTAGGTAGACTTCCGGCAGATCGAATGTGTTATAGCTGAGAGGTGTAATGTAAACCTGGACAGCTAGAGAACTGGAGACTCAGAAGCTGGCTAGTTTGAATTCTGGATGAGGCAGATCATTATTCTACCTTCATTGTATAAAATATTTAACACGTCAATGCTACTATGGCAAATGGGGTTTAGTCGCATATACATATCTTGCGGCACTGCGGATAAGATGGGATACCATCGGAATATGAATTCTTACTTTCCAACAATTTTTGATTACTCCGTGTACTCAGCTTCCTTAAAAAATCGTAAAGAAATTTTGTTTGTAGGGATTTGATTCATGTTAAATTTGACCATGGGTTGATTGATATCGATTAGAGAGAAAACCTTTGGAAACCAGGGAGTACTGGTTAGCCACTTCGTTCTAGTTTGCAGCTCCTAAGCAAAACACACCCGTGACTTCACAAGAGATCGAACCCGGGACATTCTGGTTGTACGCTAAGCTCGTTGACCATTCAACTAGTTTAGCCGGAGTTATTGACAAGAGAACGCTAATTTCTGTCAACTAGCGGTTCTAGTGTGACTTCCAGATGAGGGTTTCTCCTTCACCTAACCTGATGGAAACCAGTAATCACAATGTATTACTCCAGCTGCAGGTGACTTCTTCATGTTGTCAGTCGCCATCATCAGAGCATCAGACTGATTTCGAAGATTCATTTCACGCCGGATCACAGATTGACACAGAATTTTGTTCAACACAAATATCACTTATTATGCTTCTTGCTTTTTTATATATTTATCATTGACTGTTTAGAGAACTGATATTATAGCAGCCCCACTATTCGTAAACGAAGAACGATCAGGATATGTGTATTATGTTGGACCGTTTATGGAAGATACAATGGGTATTCTGATTAAAGTTCCTGATCAAAATGAAGAATTGTTCCAAATGTTTCTGCCTTTTCGTTATGATATATGGCTGTGCTTGGTTGCTTCAGTATTCATTGCAGCCTTGGCAATTACACTATTCAGCATTATAAGTCCGTTTAGTGCCTGGAATTTAGCCTTACCTGGAGCCACATCTGATGAAGTTTCAATATACCACAGTATCTGGTTTAAAGTCGGTGGTATGCTAATGCAAGGTTGGTTAGTCAATGTTTAAGAAAATTATTCAGGTCTTACTTTCTTAGAAAGAAAGCAGTAGTATATTTTGGTGGACAAATGTTTATCCTACACCGTATTATTATTATTGTTATTATTTTAAAGATATCATTTTGATATAAATAACAAATAGAAAATCAAAATGAGTGGTGATCCATTCAGCGAACAGACTCTTTTCAACAACGAATTTATCATCAAGTTGTATATATATGGTTTTCAAGAGGTTATATCCAGTGAGAAAATTTATTGATAGGTGTGAGTGAATGCATTATATATAATAATAGTAGTATAAAATGCAATTAAAACTAAAATGTTTGTGATTATAATCGTAGTTAAATGTCAAGTGGCAAAGCAGATTAATGTCATATATGGAATAATTCATAGAATGGATAGATCTTGGAAAGGCTGTGCAATTATATGTTCAGTAGACAAATCGAATAAAATGAAAACATCACGTAAAATTGTGTAAAATGTGATAGCATGGAATTTAACGTTGTAAAAAAGAAGAATTGATTCAGAATGACAAGTGGAACAAGTGAAATAATACCGGGGACAGTTCAAAGTGAGAATAGTAAAACTAACTAGCAATTGACGTAATAAAGGAAGAGTATGCAAACTGAATAGACAAAATAAAAAAATGAAAAATTGGTAGAGTCAAAATATGATCGGGCGGTACCATACTTTAGCATAGAGGGAATAAGACCATGAGAGTTGGAGGGGTTGAACGAACTTATTTTTGTACACAGAGATCTGGCTTCCCTGTTTCGATAGCAAAAGCTTCAGCTATACAGATGAGTCGAGTAGGTAGGGATTCGGGAAGATTACTTTTTCCCTTGTAGATGACTTTAAACGCGCAGGCTATAGAGATAGGGTGATCATTAGCGACCAGACATTCAATGATCGCGCTTCTTATTGCTCCACTCCCACCTCTTCGCAGCCACCATGAAGATAGTGTTCTTGCACCCTCTTGGACAAAACTCAAATCGAAAGACCAATATGCCTAGCTCCACACGAGTAGGTGGACTAACCCACACATAGAGTTGGTCAACAGCGGATCGTGTACTTCAGGTTGTTGGGCATTAATTGTCCACTAGTAAAGGCTATTCTCAGAGATGCAGCAGGAAATTTTCTCTTCAGAGACTGTGATATCCTTCTTTCCATGACATTGGAAGCTAAGTAACCACTGAATTTTAAGCTGATGTACAGGATTTTCTTGGGTGTGGATGGTAAGTCACGTTTTATAGGATTTCAATGTATATTATTGTCTATAAAACGTGACGGAAATCCATTTTCTATCACTATTACCCTCAAAAGATTTAACTCATCCTCCACAGTATCAGCGCTACATACGCGCCGAAAGCAAGTGGCAGGCAACCAGACCAGGTTTCGTTTCGACCAATGGGTACCCAGCTGTAGAAATTTGTCAGCTGAACATTCCATGACAGCTTTCAATAAATCGATCTCTTCAGTGTTCCACCACTCCTTCTTGATAAGACCACATCGAGGAAATGAATACTAGACTCGTTCTTCACTTCCAGTGTGAATTGTTTTCGGTGGATGGCAAACATTAAATGCATTCATCCCGTAATTCAAATTACAATCAATATTAGAAATAATGAAGGTATCATCTACATACCTTTTATACATTTGAAAGCTTTTGATTAATGCCTTCAACTGACCATTTTCTAGACTGGACATAAGACAGTCTACAAGGAGAGGACCCAAGTGAAAACCTATTGCAATACCATCCTTCTGTCTGTAGACTGTTTCACTGAAAGTAATCTGTGCATTCAATGTACATCTCAAAATTAGTTCTTTCAGATCTGAAGTGGGTGCGTATCCTATATTCAATTTGTTGTCTCCAATATATTTGCATATTTGCATTCACTCAGACCTATGATTCAATTCCCTCACTGGATATAACCTCTCAAAGAAAACCATATATATTTGTACGATTGTACAGCTTGATGATAAATTCGTTATTGAAAAGAGTCTCTTCGCTGAATGAACCACCACTTGTTTTAATTTTCTGTCTGTAACAATGAGAATTCTCCATGAGTTTAAATGAATAACAAAGACGTAGGTTAGCCTGAAATCTTCTTTTTGTAACTTCACCTCAAATCTGCACATCTACACAGTGTTCTAAGTGATTCTGGAAACGTCTATCAGGCTTGACTGTTAATATCAACTGGTAACAAACCATGTGAAATTACACATCAGCAAAAGTAATAATGAACAAATCAAGGTATTCAGTTGAGCGGTTTTGATGTAGTTGTGTCCTCTGAGCTGGATGGTTTATTTGTAAAGCTTTCATCGCCCTACTCACTAGACAACATCTTCAGCGCTTACTTCAATTTGAATTGAAGTGAGCTTGTAGATTTCTCCATGGGTTTATAAGTCATCTCTCCTGGAATTGATGTCACACATAAACCAACAAAATCACTTCACTCAGCTGGCTCTATGTCAACCAAAAGACTCATCAATGAAAGAAGATAAAGTCAGCATCATCTACCAAATAAACAATTATAAAAAATTATATTTGTAAAATCTCAGTGAAATTTAAATGATTAATTCCAACGTTTCGTTCGGCAATCTGGTCCGAACTTCTTCAAGGAAATTAATCGAAACTAACATAACATTGTCGAGCGAAACGTTGGAATTATTCATTTCAATTTCGCTGAGATTTTACAAATATAATTTTTTACAAATGTCTACTTCTCACTCGGCGCCCAAGTAATTTAGAACTATTCTGTCAAATCTTGACTACAATTAATTTGACATATATATGTATATTATATATATATATATATGTTCATATATCACCTTGTTTATGACTTGTGCCAATAAATCGTAGGTACTATTCCTTATGACGAAATCAATAAACGTCAGTGCTTACCTACCAATATTCAGAGTATTTGCATAACACGTAAACGTAAGAACGGCTGACAAAATCGCCAACACGATTGCTGAATATTTCATTGTCAGATCACGTTAGGATTACTAAAAATCAGCTCAGAGAACACAACTACACCAAAATCGTCCACCTGAGCTACAAATCTTCTCCATTATATTTAGTTAAGCTCTATTACATAATCTGGAAACATTCAGTGATGAATATTACTGAGAAATGATTAACACTGAGAACTACAACCAAGAAGACTGCTCGTAAGACCAGGAAGTTCAGATTACGTGTAAAGCCTATTTCGAAGTAAGAAGTTTGAAGGGAGAGAAGAAGAAGAAATGAATACAAATGGATTACATACCAGATTATTGTAAAAGATGAAAAAATACTTCAAGGTCACGGTAGTAAAGAAAATACCCTAAACTGTATATACCCAAGCGATTTGCCCATTCCATTTACCACTGTGGCTTTAATTTCTTCAGCAACTGATTGCTGCTTATATAGTTCAACCTAAACTTCTACATTTTTGAGTACATTTTGTTCCAAAATGCATAAACTGTTGTGGAGAATCATGGTCAGCTACCGCATTGGAAGAGTCAACGAGTAAGTGGAGTTCACTTTTCAGTGGATTATAGATGTAATCTATTCTGTATGGTAAAAGGGATCAAGATTAGATTTGAAATAAATTTAATGAGCCTTCTGTCTTTCACAGGACAAGAACTACGAGCCATCGCTGGTTCTGCAAGGACAGTAACACTTCTCTACTGACTACTAGTTCTGGTAATTCAAGCCACATGGCAGGCTAATTTGACAGCATTTTTAACCAGAAATGTTGTACAAATTCCTATTTCGTCGTTGGATGATTGTGCCAATTCAGGATATACAGTGGCTGCCATAGAATACAGTGGACTGAAGAAAATGTTCGAGGTTTGTCTGCATTCAATTATTGTGAATTCCCTAGTACAATTTTCCTGATATATTGCGATTAAAGCCTATGAGTGGGATAACACTCCTTCCACATGTTCTGAGGAGTGAAGTCCGGGGATTTAACCAGGGATTCACTTTCACCTGGCTCTTCAGATGCCCATCACGTTTCCTCATTTCCTCCTTACATCATCTTCGATCCATCTCCACGTTACACTCTCAAAATAAGCTCGTCACTTCTCATTCGTATTCCACTTGACGGCCTGCTTAACGTGTGTGGTTTCACTCCACGTTCTCACAAATGAATGTCCAATTCACGTTAATTTCCTTGTGCATATTTCTTGGTTGGGTGAATAATGGGTGGTTACCTGTTGGCTTGGTTGTGAGAACCCCTTGAGGCTTATCGTTTCTGGTTGGCTATCTATTCTTCACTATCCAGCCAATATTGGTGTTTACTAAAGTCTACACACTGTTTGGAAACCTCATGGAAACATGTGTGCCAATTCTCTGAAGTACATACAAGAATCCACTTCAAATTACTGCTGAAAATTAGGGTGTTTTTCCATACACTTGATCTCCCCACTGATTTTTCGGTAAATGTACAGCTGTCTTCCTTTACCAGTTCTATCCCAACTGGTTTTGACATCCCCATTCATTCTTTCTGTGGCTGGAATGATTCCTTTTAGATTTTCCCTGTTGAAAGTAATTCAGGTTGAATAGGTTGGTATCTTTATCATATCTGCTCCCTATATGTTCACCTGACATTTTGTACTATCAGCCTGTTCTGGCAGCTTATCTGCTTCCACTTGTACATGTTAGACTGTGCTGAAGCGTATTGAGGAGACACTGTAATCTGACTTCATCATATCACGTGCTAGTGGGTATTTATCTGTAGTGATTTGTTAATTTTTTATTTTTTATTTTTTTTGATTACAGCTTGATTCCGCACTGCATTTTTGGTACAAGTATGGAATTTTCAGCATGGATATCGGTAGCCCAAATTTTGCAGGCCAACCATAGATATCAGGTGTGCATCGGCAGGGGATCGAACCTCGGACCATGTGCATGGTCGGCGAGAATCCTAACCACTGTGCCACCGACGCACAGTTTCAATACAAGGAAACACGAAATCATTAGTGAGTCAGTCATTCAGATAATGGAATGCATCTACCTAATTCTATTGGTTGATCCCTCATATATTGTAACACAGACTGACTCTATTTTGGCTTTCTTATGAAAGATACAAGAGTATCTTTGTGTAGGTATAATCTTCACGAATCGTAGTGGTGTGTAATTTTGAAATTGAAATTTGGTCTACTGTGTTGCTGGTGAACATTCTTTTATTAAACCAGCAATGTACAAAAACCAAAGGGGTAATGTCAGACGATTTTGTCCTAGCATTAACGTCTTCAGCAATACATTCAAATAGCCCCAACGGGTCTAGATACTATGGATTTAAGATAACCAAGCACAGCCGGATAACTATCCGGTCACTGGAAAGCAATGGCATCCAACAAACCAACATGCAACTTCTCTATAAAATGCATCTTCAAGAAAAATTTAATTAGTAGTCGACCACTCACCTTTACTTCTTTACAGTTTATTGTTGTCTGTCGGCTGCAATGGTGATGTGACGTTTCAGCTGAGGAACAGACTGATACAAATGAAATTTCATTGCCGTGTAGCATCCAGTAACAAACACATCGGAGTGTGAATATTTCATTTTTCTACGGATTCAGACGTATATTGTGTGACTTAGTTAGTGAAAAGACTGCTGAAGCTTACTCAGGTGTGCACGCATGCCCTTTACGTACATCCATGCAAGAACAACAGATGTAGTGCACCACAGAGTCGTTTTAAGGGAGTTTGCTTGACATAACTTTTATTCAACTAGCAATTTCTAATGAACACTGAGAGCTGGATACCTTCCCATTCATTAAACTTTTGTGTTACGCATGCTTTCAACTGGGCTGACACGTGAGTTTGACCACATTTTTTTCAAAAACCTTCTAGTCTTCTGAGATTTATGGTTACAACATGCATTCCTTTGTTTTTCAACTGCGACTTTTTACAGCGTGGAATCGGAAATCCAGTTTACTCAAAGATATATGAAAAAATCACCAAGAATGATGTTGATATCACTTCTCTGAAACAAAGTGTTGAGTTTGTACGCAATAGTACATCGAATGTGTTTTTGGGTAACAGGATATCATTACTACACTATCCATATGATGGAACGGATACCCTGGATGTTGTTGAAGTGAAAGACATTGTTATCCCACTTTCATTCGCTGTTAGATTAGACGAAGAGTATGCCAGCTTAATGTTGAACTTGTAAGCCACTACTACGACTTACACATAATAATATTCCTCTATTTTAATTTTGCTTGTATCCTTCCTTGATTTAAGATTGCATGTGTATCTATTTTATTTCGACAGAAAGTTGTCTGGATGGATGTTCAGTCTTATGTTAGAAACATTTTTCAGGATTAAAGCAAGCGGAGTAAGTACTATGGTTTCTTTACTGAAGAATGTGTGGATGGCATGGTTCGCTCCCTAGTAACCTGAGAGTATATCAGTCCTTATCCACCATAGCTCCGTGATAACGTCTGTGACTGCAATACTGAGCGATACAAATTCGAATCTCAGAGACCACATGATCACTTCCTCAAAGATAAGAGATATACCTTACTGATGGATGATAGGAAGCGTGAAGCTTACGTCTAAGGTTTTCTGATGACTGTCTTTAGCCGTCCACCACATTCATCCTGTATTAAACGCTATAATTACGGGCAGATTAATGAAGGGATACAACGATGACATCAAGCTGATGCACTGTATCGTTAGTTATTTAATTTCCATAACTGAATATAATTTGCATAATTTATATCATTCCTCAGTTCTCAGATAGGAAATGAATGCACATCATCACAGTAACAGAATAAACTTTATGTTTAACATTTAGTTTAAAAGTGAATTAACAGACACAGAAGTCAATAGGCTTTCCAATATGCATCAAAAGCTAGACAACCGTAATGCTATTTTGTGGGCGTTTTAAGATATTTCGCATTCTCATGCTAATCATAAAAGAAACTGTTATAATATTGTTGATAGAAAAGATGACAATTTTAGACTCAGTTCACGCCTTTCATCATTCATCAATTAATTATACGTGTTGAACTAATCTGTTTGTTGGCTTTTACTGATGCTCTTTCATTTTCTCTTTTCTCTCTCTTTTCTAAAACGTTTAACCACTCAGCATGTCGACACTGAGAGAAAGAGGGGTAATCGATCATTTACTCGAAAAATGGGATGTGGAAAAGGCGAAAATTGTTGCTAACACAGCCTCGTACAATGCAGTAACACTTCGTAATATATCTGGTGCAGTTAAAGTCTTGTCTGTATTTATTGTGGTCAGTTTAATAGTCCTGGTTATTGAAAAGTTATGGTATAAACGTTCGCTGAATAAAGCAAGACTCAATCCAAAGTGTAAAGAAAAAGATGAAGAAGAATGTCATCCTGGGATATGGCGACGTTTTACTCATCCTTCAGCTGACCTAGCAAAACCAAAATTAGATCTATCACGGAATCCTACACTAAAACAGTTAACATATGCTGGTCATAGAAGAGCGTCAGCAGCTTACGATGCTACTATAATCACTGTCGACCACCATCATACGGAATCATCAGATGTTGATTAGAGGTGTCGGGATGGACAGCGTGTTTATATGATATGATGGAAGAATGCTTACTAACAACCACCATGTGCTGTCAGATTGAAAGAACAGTGACGAATAACCAACCAATCAAGAATTAATGCCGTAAATTTTATTTAAATTAGTATTGAAATACCGTGGAACTGACCAAACTGTTCCTTTTCTTTCTTTTTTTCTTAAATGTAAAAGATAAAAAGGGATAATTTACACAAGTACTAAACAACCTTATATTTTATCATCGGTGGCATTTATTGTTGATTTAGTAGTTACTGGATCGGGCAATTTCTAACCTTTACACCTTTAGATAAACTCTGTGTGTGTTAGATCATAAATATAAATGTGTGTTCAATAGAAGTAAGGTTGTCTCAATTCTTTTATATATTTTGACTTACCATCATCAATAGACTTCTGAAGATCATGATACTTGCAGAAATCGAGAGATGTGCGCACTGATCTAGAGGAAGTTAAGATAGCTTGATGAACAATCTCATCCACCGGAGTTGGTTGTTTCTCATCGTTGAAATTTGATTAAGATATCATATGACGCGGATGAATTAGATGGGCGAATGATACGAATGAAACATATCAACGTTTATGCGAAAATTGATTATTATTATTCTTACTATTCTCTTGGGGATCCATGTGGAATCCGGAGCTTCAATGGCATATCACCACTTCATTCTGTTATCTGTTGTCCTCTTTACGTGGCTTAACAACTGCTCACTAGCTGTCATCCCCTCCATGTCACACTCGAACCCATGCTCATCCCATCACTTTTCATTCGGCTTATAGTCGAGGCTCGGTCTGGCTCACGATGTCAATCAACTGTCATCTCAGAGTGTGTACAATCCATCTTTATTTCTTCTGCATATTTATCGGTAGTAGACTCGTAGTTGGTTCTTTCCCACAACTGGCTGTTTCCACTCCCTTCTGGCCGGCCATATGATCTTCATTCTGAAGCGAGGACAGATGTTGATGAAAATCTTCAGTATGCTTCTGGAAATGCTTTTGGTGACACGTACATCAAGACTCTGACCTATATATTAACTTCATAAATAAAAAAAGACGTTATTTCACGGGATGATAACCAACAGTCAGTGACCAGTGGACACAAACAGACCACCTTAACATCGGTTTCCCATGAAGATGATCATTGATCGATTGTGTAAACTTCGATCAAACAGAGGACTCTTCATACGTATGAGTTTCAAAACCGATTATCGAATAGGTTCTTAAGTGGTTAGGTGTTTGACAATAACATGTGGTCTGTGTTCAGGGATAAGATAACTCAGTACTTACCTACCTATCTATCTGAATGTTACAGCAATGATAATATCGAGGAAATCTGGCACCAACTTAAGTCTGCTGCGGAGAAAGTGTGGCTCTTCAAATATGAGGGAGAAAAACAGTTGTTTCGGAATAAGCTGACGTAAATTCGTCACAAAGACATCGGACAATGATGGGTGGTGATAAAATGGAAGAAAAGCGAAAATGAATGAATATCTGTCAATCTGTCTGTAACAATGTCTGTAATGTCAGGCTGAACACTTTGAGGAGCATCTTATCTGTATTGTGAACTGGATCCTCTGCCCTGAAATTTATAAGAAATCACATTAATTTAGGTCGACACATCTCGGGAAAGTGAATGTGGAGAAACTAAGATATATAAATATACATTGGTAAATTGGTAGTGATTCCTTAGAATCTGGAAGATGTGAAGGAGCGAATCCTTTTCCACAAGTGCGAATGATTTTCGACCAAGTCTGTAACAGTTTCAGACAATAGATTGCATTGCATTAAAAAAATCCTAACGGGGCAGACTTAACATTTCTACATAGCTGAAATTAACACTTGAACACTTCACACATTGGTGCAGCGCTCAACTCTGCCCAAACTGACTGATTGTAGGCCTAAAGTTAATTACTTATAATCTGAGCCACGTAGAGAGAGAGATTTAGTTTTCCGAGATACTTAATTCCATATTAGTTTGATTATTAAATATATCACACAGTGAAACAGTATTGTATACTGGATGACGTTTCGAACACAATTTATTGTTCATAATCATATCAATTTTTGTCACACGACTTCGAGATTTGATTTTTATAGTTTTCTCTGTCTTCTCCTATTTGTTGTATGGGCAGTAGAATTTTCCATATATCTGGGACAGGTGTTGAATCATTCCTATTACATGTATTTGCGGTTGATTCGATAAACAACCGCAAATACATGTAATAGGAATGATTCAACACCTGTCCCAGATATATGGAAAATTCTACTGCCCATACAACAAATAGGAGAAGACAGAGAAAACTATAAAAATCAAATCTCGAAGTCGTGTGACAAAAATTGATATGATATGAACAATAAATTGTGTTCGAAACGTCATCCAGTATACAATACTGTTTCACTGTGTGATATATTTAATAATCAAACTAATATGGAATTACTTAATACCACAGTGCCCAAGTTTTACAAATATATTAACGAGATACTTAAATTCATTGATTTCAGACTACCAGTAACTAGAGCTCGAAATATTATACATTAGCTCAGCTTCCTTTTCACCATATCATGTCCCACATTCTCAGAATACTGGCTTTCGAGTTGCATTTAAAAGCGATCGGCGTACTTGTTAAGAGAAAATGAGCCTCATAACATCGCATAGATCAGGCATTGAATGGAGAACTGTCCGAACGCTCAGATAATAGCAGGTGGTTGTCTTAAACGGTCCTCCTCTCCGAGACATTGACTTGAATTCTCTCATCAAAAAGACAATGGAAAAGCGTCAGGTATTACGTTCCCATGGTTTCTGGTAACCGAAGCGATTCCATACTCTGTTCTATCCGTTCGGATTTGGAGCCAATTTACGTTACTTTGGGCTGTTTTAGACGTGTTTTATTGACCTTCTTGTACACAGATGGAGTGACTAAGTTAAATCTGTGGGTTACTACTTCATCATGGATGATTCTGTGTTCGACCCTAGCTAGGAAAAATGGTACACACTACTGAGAAGAGTCACAAAACGGAACAAGACAGCACTGTGGTGCGCTTCCGTATTCAGCTATCCTATGACCTATGTCCATTCTTGACGACATTTGCATGGAAAGCATTGAGAATTTTTGCAAAAACAAAATTTTGTATCTTTTAATAATCCAACTAACACCCTTTTGTGTACATGAATAGGCAGCACTTGTCGTTGTCCGAGTGCTTATTCCTTCTCTGAGGATAGACGTTGTGCAAGAATGCGTAAAGCATACCCACCTACAAGTATTTCAGGTAAATAATTGGTTTTTGAATGGAGATTACAAAAGTCTTTATCAAATGTTGAGTAAATAACTTCGTATGCCGTCGAATATCTTAAATAAAATATTTTTGGTTTTAGTCACATCAGTGTTGCCATTGTTTTAAATATAATAATAGAACTACTGTGGAAAGGCATTAGTTCGTATCGAACGAACATTCATGGTGTTGTAGCACATTATGATTCGTGACGACCTAGTGAGCATTATTTAGAATAAAATTCCAGTTGGTAATTGTTGAATGTATCCTCCTTACTGAACTCTTCCTGAAGAAGATTCACTAAAGCAGACGAAGATATATTTGTTTAGTCAGAGAGTTTTAGAAGCTCTAGAAACCTGAAGTTATCATGCCTTGGATATCAAAATGATATGAAGTTATTTTTGCATGGACTGGATTCAATCCCATTTTCGCCTTTTTCTCCAAATTTCATCGTAATTCACAGTGAGAAGTAAATTGCAACTGGTGTCAACACCTCGAAACTAAGTGATAGTGTCAGTTGTTCGGAAGACAGAGGGAGACAGGGAGAGAGAGGGAAAGAGAACTATGGACAAGTTTATGCGGCAAAAGTTTGAAACCTGAAGTCTGTGTTGAGATGAAGCACAAGGGCGATATAATAACAGAATGAAGTAGACCGACGTGGTGACATCTTAAGATAGTATCTAGTGTTCATTGTTACAAAATTTCAGGAAGACTTGGTTGAATTTAGAAGTTTTGGAATTCAGAGTGAGGGAAAATCCATTGGCATGGCACTCTTGGCGTTATTCAACTTAGAAGAAGGGTGAAAAACAGATTCCAATGTCACATTTCATAGAAGGCACACTTTCATCCATTAACCTGTAACTGAAGTTAGCCATCGAAATTCAATGAGCATCAGGTAATTTGAAATTGGGACGAGTGTGAATGTGCATTTGACGAATAATGAACACGTAGAAGTAAATCATACCAGTAAGTATTTTGGTTGGTCACTAGGCGATAAATAACTTCATTTGTCTAGTAATCAGGTTGGTGTCGACTGAATTCTATCAATTGGTCAAGTTTCCGATGTAATCATTGTGCTGAGTGACTCACCATTGTAATGGACACTAAAGCAATCGCGAGGAAGTCTTGGACCTAGGTTTTGTTCTTGTTGGTAATGGTGCATATGTAGTCTTGAAGGGACTCGCACCAAACTGAAATTCAAATCCGGGTCACCCAGTGCTGCAATCAGAGACTTTGTCACGGAGCTATTCGGGTTCACCATTGATCTCCTGTAGAACCAACCAAAGGACTAGACTCATGGCACTAGTTAAATTACCTGCTTACTTACTTACTTACAAAAGTGACATTCTGCACGACTGTAATGGGCACTTAGATCGGTCACTGCGGCGTAGCCAATATCATGCTTTTAGTTCTTGTGTCAAGTTTGCTAGGTTACGAGTCGCATTAGATTGTTTGACCCCAATAAGATAAGGAATCTAGAGATAAGTTAGGCTTTCACTCAGTACATGCAATTACACACAACCATACAGTAGGCTGGATGAGATAGGATGATAGTTTCGAAATCTAATGTCACAGGGTGGATGGAGAGATTGATAACAGAAGCTTTGTTTATCGAATCAACTGATAGGGAATACGTGTAAAAGGAATAATTCAACGCCTATACAACCATATATCTAGAAAATTCTACTGCCCCAATGACGACGACAAATAGGAGAAAACAAAGAAAACTATAAAACCCAGGTTTCGATGTCGTGTGATTATAACTGGTGATATGATTATGAAGAATAAATTTCGTTCGAAACTTTGTCATCCAGTAATTACTAATACTGTTTTTGTCACTGTGTGATACATCGAATAAACGAACTAATATGGATTATTAT